GAACACCGTCGAGACCATTCAGGAAATGAATTTATGCGTGATCGGAGGGGTCATGAGGTACAATGCTTTGTTCGGGAGACCATGGATTCACGCTATGAGGGCAATACCCTCGACACTGCATCAGATGTTGAAATTCCTAGCGCCTAGACGAATTAAAACAGTTTACGGAGAGCAACCGGCCGCAAAGGAGATGTTCACAGTCGATAAGCTGATCCCGGTATCCGCACTTTTGACATCGAAGGGTCTGAACTTGATGGCCAAAGACGAGACCAAATAGCAATTACCGATACTGGCCTCGATGGAATCGGAGAAGTAGGGGATAGATGAAGGCGACGACTATAGAGTTCCCAGATCTTTCATAGTCCTCGATGATTCATGCCACCAAATCAACAGTCGAAGAACTGGAGCAAGTCATATTGATCAAACACCTGCCTGATCGTAAGGTACACTTGGGCATGGGGTTAAGTCCCGAGCTCAGGAAAAAACTCATTCAATTCCTTATAGCTAACATAAATTATTTCACTTGGTCCCATCTCGATATGACAGGGATTCTATCAGAGATAACCACTCACAAGGTAAGCCTGGATCCGAAGTTCCATCCGGTCAAGCAGAAAAGGAGACCTCAGTCTGAAGTCAAGCATGCATTCATCAAGGATGAGGTATCTAAACTCCTTAAATTAGGGTCCATCCGGGAGGCTAAGTATCTGGATTTCTTATCAAACGTAGTAGTCCCTAAATAGGAGATAAGTTAAGAATGTGTGTAGACTATAAATACTTTAACAAAGCATGCCCAAGGACAATTTCCCGCGGCAAAACTTCGATCGAATGATCGATGCAACGGTCGGGCACGAGATCCTCAGTTTCCTCGATGCCTACTTCGGGTACAACCAAATTCGGATGGACCCGGACGACCAGGAAAAAACGTCCTTCATCACTAAATACGGTACCTAATGCTATAATGTAATATTATTCGGACTAAAAAATACCGGTGCCACTTACCAACGCTTAGTAAATCGGATATTCGAAGAGCAAATAGGAAAATCAATGGAGGTTTACATTGACGATATGTTAGTTAAGTCCCTGCAAGTAGAGGACCATTTGAAACATTTGCAGGAAACCTTCAACATATTGAAGAAGTATAATATGAAGCTGAACCCGGAGAAATGTGCATTCGGAGTCGGGTCCAGAAAATACCTTGGGTTCATGGTGTCCAACCGAGAAATCGAGATTAATCCCGATAAGATCAAGGCCATCGAGGATATCACCATCGTGGATATTGTCAAAGCCGTACAAATGTTAACCGGACGCATAGCCGCTTTGGGTCGATTCATCTCGAGGTCCTCCGATTAGAGCCATCATTTCTTTTCACTGTCAAAGAAGAAGAATAACTTCTAGTGGACCCCTGAGTGCCAACAGACCTTAGAGGAACTTAAGCTGTACCTCTCGAGCCCGCCTTTGCTTCATACTCCGAAGGCAGACGAACAATTATACACGTACCTAGCGGTATCCGAGGTAGCAGTAAGTGGAGTCCTAGTCCGAGAAGTGGAAGGTACGCAATTTCTTATCTATAATGTTAGCAGAACTCTAGGCGAGGCCAAAACTAGGTATCCTCACCTAGAAAAATTAGCGCTCTCTTTGCTAAGTGCCTCTAGGAAGCTAAAGTCGTATTTCCAATGCCATCCCATATGTGTTATGACTACTTACCCCCTGAGAAATGTAATGTATAAGCTCGAGCTCTCGGGACAATTGGCCAAATGGACCGTGGAGATCAGCGGGTACGGCATCGAATATCGACCCCGAACCGCCATTAAATCACAAATTTTAGCGGACTTCGTGGCCGACTTCATGTTGGACCTAATTCCTGAGGTATAAAAGGAGTTGCTATTGAACCCGGGGACCTCTTCCGGAATCTGGACCCTCTTTACGGATGGTGCCTTGAACGCAAAGGGGTCCGGACTTGGCATCGTCTTGAAACCATCGACGGGTAATGTAGTTAGAAAATCTATTAAAACTATAAAATTGACTAACAACGAGGCCGAATATGAGACCATGATTGCAGGTCTTGAACTGGCTAAACTCCTAGGGGCGAGGTGGTCAAAGCTAAATGCGATTCTCTCCTCGTGGTGAATCAAGTCAATGGAACGTTCAAAGTTAAAGAGGAACAAATGCGAAGATACCTCGTAACTCCCGGAACTTCTTCGTAGTGGCTCCCTTACATCCCTCATTTCATAGGGGTGGATAAACTACAAGTAAAGATACATCGGTTCAGGGAATAGACTTTACAACATGTACCTCGCGATCAAAACAGCGAGGCTGATGCTCTTGCTAACTTGGGATCGTCTGTCGATGATGATCAATTCAACTCGGGAACGGTCGTACAACTCATGAAATCGGTAGTAGAGGAAGGCCACGCCGAGATAAACTCGACAATCTTAACCTGGGACTGGAGAAACAAGTACATAGATTACCTGAAGACCGGAAAACTTCCCTCGGGTCCTAAAGAATCGAGAGCTTTGCGTACAAAAATGGCCCGGTTCAACTTGTCTGAAGACGGTACCCTATTCAGAAGAGCATTCGATGGCCCACTTGCCATATGTTTAGGGCTGGGAGACACCAAATACATTTTGTGGGAAGTCCACGAGGGCACCTGCGGGAACCATTCGGGTGTCGAATCATTAGTTCGAAAGATAATCAGAGCCGGTTATTACTGGAATGGTATGGAAAAAGACGCAAAGGAGTTCGTACGAAAATGCGACGAGTGTCAGAGGTATGCTCTGATGATCCACCAGCCCGGGGAGCCGCTGCATTCGGTCTTGTCGCTCTGGCCATTCATGAAATGGGGGATGGACATCGTTGGTCCCCTACCTTAGGCGCCCAATAAGGCTCAATTTATTTTATTTATGACTGATTACTTTTCTAAGTGGGTGGAAGCCCAGTCATTTGAGAAAGTCAGGGAGAAAGAGGTCATTGATTTCATATGGGACCACATAATATGCCGATTCGGAATGCCGACCGAGATCATGTGCGATAATGGGAAGCAGTTCATCGGCAGCAAAGTGAGCAAGTTTTTCGAGGACCACAAGATCAAAAGGATCCTATCAACGCCCTATTACCCTAGTGAAAACGGGCAAGCAGAGTCCATGAACAAAATCATACTCCAGAACTTCAAAAAGAGGTTGACCGATGCCAAAAGAAAATGGAAGAAAATTTTTTCTAAAGCCCTATGGGCATATCGTACGACCTCAAAATCCAGTACCGGGGCCACTCTGTTCTCGTTGGTCTACGGTGTCGAAGCTCTTATACCGGTCGAAGTAGGAGAACCGAGTTTTCGGGTCCGAAATGCGACCGAAGAGTCAAACGACGAGGCTATGAGTACGAACCTCGAACTGTTAGACGAAAGGCGCGAGGCCGCCCTCGTTGGAATGGCTGCCCAAAAGCAACGGATCGAAAGGTATTACAATCGAAGAACCAACCTTCGACACTTCAGTGTCGGGGACTTGGTGTTAATAAGGGTGACGCTGAGCACCCGGAACCTGAACGAAGGGAAGCTGGGACCGAATTGGGAAGGCCCATATCGAATTATCGAGATCACCGGTAAAGGATCGTACAAACTCGAAATGGTGAACGGTGAATGGCTACCAAACAACTGGAACATAACCCACTTAAAATGATACTACTGCTAAGGTACGATCACATTCATTGCCGTTCTTTAAATATATTACGGATTGGGCCGACACTTGCCGGTAACGACCAAGGAACGATGCGACTATTAGGCCTAAAAGCACGCGTTGCACTCTTTTTCCCTTCAAACCAGTTTTGTCCCAAATGGGTTTTCCGATAAGCTTTTTAACGAGGCAACAATGGATCGTGCTAACTTAGAATTGGAGACCGACTATGAACCGGCGTCAAGGTTCTCATCAACAGTATCTGATCCCTCTCTAAAATCGGCCTCGAACACTGGGGCCCATCACCCTCAGATATTGATTTTAACAAGGAAGGAAATTTCGTGCTCAAACGAGTCTAGACTTTGGTTGATAGGATCTCTTTTAAATGTTAGTGACTCAAGACGTCAAACGAATGATACAAATCCATTTACTATAGGCCCATATATAATACAGCCTTAAATGTTAGTGACTCAAGACGTCAAACGATTCACTTTATGTGATATATAATTCATACTTCCTCCGTCCAAATTTGTGTGATATATAATTCATACTCCCTTCGTCCAAATTTGTGTAAAAGTATTTGACTTTTAAAATTTGTAGTCTAAAATAAGTCATAAAAATTTGTGTGGCAAGAAATCATTTCATTAAGGATAAAAGAAAAATTTAAAGATAAATTATTACTGCTAAATATAAAAGAGTATTGTTCTTTTTGGAATTGACTAAAAAAAAATATCACACAAAAGGAAGGGAGTGCAATATTTGGTGGTGTAAGACAAACAAGTAATTGTGTCTGAAAATTTTTCTGCTTTTGCTATACATAAAAAACCAGAGCCTCAACCAGTTGAAACAAGAAAACAAAAACAAAAAAAAAACAGAAAAATAATGTATAACGTATTATTATGCATTCATTTCTATCCAAAGATCAAAAGACAGTCTAAAAGAGAGAATTTATTTAGCAAAAGGCAATGAACTTGACCATTCTCCCCCAGATATGCCTCCAGTAAAACCACCTTATGCAAGAAATGAGTAACTTGTTCTTTTATTTGCACTATCACATATTTTTTCCTTCTTTAGGGCAATTTCCCCTGACCCCATTCTACACCAAACTAACAAAGTACTTACAACTCTCCTGAGTAAAAGAAAAAATTCTCCTTCAGAAAAGACCAATCCTAAAGATAGAAATATTTTTGCACACTGTCAAATTTATTTCCTTACACTTTTTCCTTCTTGTAGGGAAATTTCCCCTTTCTATACCAAAATGAACAAAAAAAACAGCTCTGAATAATAACTAAAAAGAGAAAGTTCTACTTCTTCAGAAAAGGGTAAATACAAATGATAGAATTGTTTTTTGCGCTACCAAATTTTTCCCTTACAGTTTTTCCTTCTTGTAGGGCAATTTCCCCTTTTTATACCACAACAAACAAAGTAACAACTCTGAATAATAGTTGGAAAAAAGAAGAAGTTATCCTTTAGAAAAAGGCCAATTATAAGATATAAAGTGCCTACGCAAATTACCGATCAGTTACCTCCCTTTTCAACAGTTGTAGTAAGAAATCATTCCAGACATCAATAGGTCCTGGCAAACACCAGTGCACACAATCCTTACGCACAGTAACATTTGGATTTTGCCAATGTCCATATTTACTAGGATGACCATCTGCTCTCAACAACATAGCTTGTGTTGCATCAAACAACCTAAACTTCAAACCTCTATTTTCCCCTTCTTTTTGAGCAACCTCAAGTTCTTGCAATTGAATCTTGTAAAAATCCAAGTTATATTCATCCAACACTTTCTCATTCCTCTTAAACGGCACGGTCCTTACACAATCTCCTCCTTTATCCCAAACTCCATCCTCAAAATGGGATGGTGCGAATGTCCTCAAAAATGTTACACCTTTGTAATTTTCCAAGCTATTAATAGCCCGAAAAGCCGTCTGAAAAGCCCTTTGGTAGCTGAAATATGATGTCAATTGGCTAACATTTGCTTGTGAACAGAATAGGCAGCCAATGAGACTATGGTTTAAGTAAAACATAGTTGGACGGAAGAACCAGTGGCCAGCAGAGATGATCACATAATCGAAACTTTGGATTTTGGTCGTCCAAGATTCGTCTGGTTCATCGAGATATAAATTAAAGGGCTGATATATGTTATTGGGCTCGGTTTTTTCTGCTCTTACCAAATAGGGTGCCCAAAACATGGACATGTTGAAGTTGTAGTCTCTATATTCCCAGCGTTTGTTTTCAAGGTCTGTTGTATTTGAAACATCTACTGGGTATACAACCTGAGAGCAAAATTATGATAAAGTATTTAATGTTACGAATTAACTAGTACAAGGGTGGAAAAACAACATTCCTGGAATTTGGAAAAGCAATAGGCTCTTCCATGGAAAAATTTCAGAGAGTGGTAATATGATTAGCACAGTGTTTAAATTTTATCCACTTACAATATATATTTAGCAAATATATATCCAATCAGATCATTTTTTATTAGGCTTTTTTTCCCACAAGCTTGTTCACCTAAGACGAATAAGGCTAATTTCATAAGATCGAGAATAGTCGCTTTATATTTCATTTGACCTTTGGAAAGACTTAAAATAGAACCACTATATAAATTGAAAATTAGTTTGTAAGATAATAGTATACCCACAAACAGCGTAAATTTCTCATTGGTTAGCTCAAGTGGGCAATACATTATAAACTCATGTAGATATCCATAGAACTCCATGCTAAAATTGGGAATTTTGTGTGTTCCACAAATTTAAACATGTCGTTGTTTTGATAATATATAAATGCAAATAATACAGTATATTTTTTTACTCAATGTTGGATCCTTATTGTTTTAATATATTATTCATGCACCAGATATTCAACCATTAGCATATAATGAGGTGTTAGAGTTCCCTATTAATTAAGATATGAATTGTTATATTTTAAATGGTTTCAGATAATCATCACTTTATGAGCATTACCGGTTAAAACCGATGTACGTTGATCTTGCAAGCGCTGATTTTTACTTTAATTACAATGACCTTTTCAAGGACAATAACCAAATCTACGTCCCTCAATGGCCAAGAAATCATCACCATTCAAACCATATGTCACTAGTTCAAACCTAGTAACAATTACTCCACTATCTAGCTTTGCCTTTTTATTTACTCCATCATATTATAGTTCATCCCTTCTAGCCAAAGAAATTACAGTGAAAATTGTAAATTATGGAGGCAAAATACAAGCCAAGTACTATCTTTATTTCTCATCGCTTCTATTTCAGATAAATTTAAAAGAAAGACTTGAGGAGAAAGTTTCACTCAGTCCAAAAAGACACTAGTGAAATATAATATTTCCTTATACTTTCTTTTTCTTTGTTTCTTTCTATTTTGTTTGTGGGAGTAAAAGGATGGAATATTTTAATTTAAACAAATTTTACTTTAAAATTCTTATTGTTGTAGGTAAGGGAATTTTGGACAATTTATTAAAAGTTATAAATGACAACTTTTAGTCTATTAAAAACACTAGTACGTGGGGGAAGTCTTGGATACCCAAATAAAAATTGAATATATCTTTAATGCGCAGAATATAATTAGGATAGTGTATAATTAGGTGTAAGTGAATAAGTTTTTGGTTTGTTCTTAAGCAACATAGTAGTATTTTAATTAGGCTATAGCTTTTCTTTTCAAAATTTCAAGTCAACGTGAGGAAAATATATAAGGTGAAATCTAGATTAAAAAAAAGGAATTCTAAATAGTTCTAGATCCGTGTGTTACTGCGTATATTAGGGTTTCTTGGATCTGGAAAGGTATTGTCAACTCTAAGTTGTGTAAGCATAAGCTAATGTCATTTCCAACTCATCAGGAAGAAAATAATCGAAATCTGACATCAGCATAGACTTGTTTAATCCTTAAAAACAACCCCATGTGTTTCTTTTCATTGATTTTCTAATGTTTGATTCCTCACTTCGTAGGATGCACAACGTGTAAATTAATGCAGAACAGAACTTCTAGGATAATTAAATCAAAACATAACTAATTAAAGTCATAAGCTTGAATGTTATAGCAAAAACATACTGTATAGATTACCTTACTATGTTTTAATTATTACATTTTTGCTGTATTTACTATATATGTTATATTTAATTGCAAAGATCCAATCTTGAATTCTTGTCGGCCGTAGAAAAGGCAAGAATTTGCACATTAATTATCTAGCGGCGTAAATAAGCATCATATTAACGAGGCTTTGACATGCAAGATTTCAGATCTTATTAATTACTTCCAATATAAGTATCAAACCCTCACTGCCTGTGGAAACTGAAGCTATGCAAGTTTTAAAATAACTTTTGAATCATTTTTGCTACTACGCTAAAAATTACTTCATTATGTAATGAGATTCAACAATTCAAATATATATAATTATTCTTGCCCTTCTTGCGTAATACAATTTTTAGGCAAAAAAAATTAAGATGCAATTAAATCCCTCCTTATCTTTAGCTTCATTGTTGATTAAGGGTTAAACAAAAAAATTAAAGTTAAAAAGGACAACCAGGCACCCGTTAGAAAGCTTTTCATTTTTTTGGACCAAACTAAACATAGGGAATACTTAGTAAATTAACCAACCGGCCAACCCCACCAAACAAAAAAGCAAAACAAAACAAAGAAGAGTACTCTACAGAATTAGGGTTGTTATTAAATGACAAAAGATGGCGATGATCGAGAACTTACCCTGGACAAGAGGCATATCAATGATTGCATATGATTTCTTGCAACAGAATCTCCAACAAAGGCCAGAGATTTGTCTCTAACAAGTTCCAGAAATTGACGAGGATCAAATATTGGCAGCTCGCAATCATCTGGTTTCCATTTCCACATCAAGAATCCAGTATCAGGCCTCCCATATTTCATGCAATTTTGATGTTCTTGAATTTGAAAGCACGTCATATTTGTATAGTAGGGCCCTTCTGTATTTGCTACCCATTCCCCTGAGAATAAGTCGCAGTTTTTAGTACTATCATTTATTCCTTGAGGCGCCACTAAATGATATGAGTCACTTTTGGTCAGATTAGTTTGTAGACTTTTCTCATCTTTTTCTTGTGATGATATTATGGTTTTTTCCTGTTGTTCTTCTCTACTGGTCAAATATTCCTTTTTCTGCGATACGTTATCTGGAAGCGGTACCCAAGAAGAAGAAAGAACTGGTGAGAGTTTATTAGGGTGCATAGAAGGATAATAAATGGGGATGAGAGTGAACAAAATAGCGAGGGCAACGAATGGAGCAATCTTTGTAGCATTCTTCTTTCGTGTTTGTAGTTTCCCTAATGAAAGCTCAAGATCTTGGAAATTCATGGAGAAATTAAGAGAGTGATAGAAGAAAGAAGAAATAGAGATGTGACTTGTGAGTGAAGAAGCATTAGAAAGAAAGAGAGCTTTTAAAAGTTGCTAGTGTGCATGTTTTGCTAAATTTATTAGCAAATGATGGCCATGTCTTGACTAAAAGTTACACAGAATGGCCAAGGCGGGAAATTCTTACCTCCCTTCTAATTTTTTATAATATCACATGTTTGTTATTTTAAAAAGATTAAGTTTAAAGTAGTTAAAGAATTTCTAAAATATCATTTTCTTATTAGACTAAAAGAAAGAGCATGCGTTCTATTGGTCGAACAAATAGATCATACGGGATATTTTCCTTTCTTTAATTTTTGCATATTTAAATATATATTATTATTTTATTATATTATGAAGCTATATATCCGTTTGAATTTTTCTTTTAGAATCATAGTTATTTGTGTTTACCCTCAAAATCGGATAACAATTGAATTTGTAAGTGGTTTTAAGGATACGTGGATTAACTTGACACAAAATGATAAATTAGATTGCAAATGAAATAAATAACGATAAAGTAAATGCAAACCACACGAATTGGATAATTTCAGCCTTGGAAGGTTAGCCACCCTTGAGCCGAATGCACTTCAATCGGTATCAAGACACAGAAGAATAAGAGAGCTTAAAGACAATAATAATGATATATTGCTTTGGACTGCATATTATAATGTGTCAAATAAATTATCAGACCTCCTTAATATAGTAGAGGAGTCCTACTTTAGGTACAATTCTATAAAAGGTAAAAATCCCTTGATTTGATGATTGTCGGTTCCTTACTGATACGCGCTGAGATTCCCGCTGTAATATCCGACCGGTCACGGATGTTTCAGTCTTCTGTTGGTTATGCTAACAATGTTTCTTCAAGCTCATTTAGGGCTAGGGTCGATTCCGGGATCACGAACTCAATGTTCTCGAAGGCAAGCGTTCTGACCCCGGGTTCTAGCTCGGTGGGACTTGGGGTCGATCTTCAGCCCTTAATTGTCATGTTCCGAGCCTAACCTATCATGTCGTAGGCGAACTCGATTTCGACCGTATATAGATAGTCCCCTCATTTTTCGGAGAGTAGACGACGAGAAACGATATATGAGCTTCCAATTCTTACTTCGATACCTCGCGATAGAAACGACAAAACAAGCGAAACATCTCGTCAGTCAAGTCTTAATGGCATTAAATGCATGTCAGTTGCTGGTCGGCCACTTCTGGATGCAAATCGTCGCTGAAAAAATTATAAATACCCCCTCATTTGTTCATTCAAACTTTTCATCCAAACCTTATGCCCTCGTACTTTAGAAATCGTAATACTTTCTAGCACTTACATCCTAGTTATTTGAGATCTTTTATAAGAACTTTTGTTCGTCTTCATCCCAAACCATCAAGTGTACTCCTTTAACTTCCTTTTTTTCCTCATTTTGCCTTCATTTTCAAATAAATGGCGAAGATTTCAAAAACCGTTCCCCAAAAAGAAACTCCATCTACCTCGCGACCGAATACCGAGGAGATCACTTCGCGTACTGCTGTCGAGGAACCGGTACTGGAACCCCCATTGAAAATGTACGTCCCTGAAGAATGCTCGGTAACCGCCAATTTCAAGGTTGAAAAACCTTCCCCCGTACAACGCCGGTGTGAGAAGGTCTCGAGATACGTATGCTCGATCACTGAAGAGGTCCTTCATACGGTAAAAAAGGATTGCAATTGGGTCGACAAGCAAGTGGTGGTTCCCGAACCCGATGAAGACATCACCACCTACGTCGAAGAATACTTAAGTGTTTACACTTATCCTTTTACACTGAACCCATTGGATCTGGTGATCATCGACTTCTGCAAAAGATACGAGGTATGCCTCGGTCAAATTTACCCTTCTTTCTGGAGGATCGTTATCCTCCTCCGATTCTTTGTGAGCAAGATCGAGGGATGCTCGTTTACCGTCGACCACCTCATGCGCTTATACAGTCCCCGAATCTTTCGGGTGGGACTGATAAAGCTTGTGTATCGGGTTAGTAAAGCCCCATTCTCGCGCATTGATGAAGATCGGGATCGAGGTTGGCTATGCCGTTATGTCCGAATGAGGACCTCGGACTTGATCCCAGCTGATCGCATGCCGTTCCCCGAGAAGTGGAATATATTACGTAAGTAAAAATTTTCTTACAAAATTTATTTTATGCTTTTTTCCTTCCTTCTTATCGGTGTTTTGTGGTGGTGCAGCTGCCGCTCGGGTCCCGAATGCAGTCCTTTGACTCAAGAAGTGGGTCGAGGGCATTGTGTTACAAAGGCCATATTCTGAGCGTTTATGGTACGAACTTTCAAAGGGTCGGTGGGAGGCCCGTTCTCATGGTGAGATTCCTTTCCCGTGTAAGTAACATTTGAGTTTCTCTCGTGTCGTTAAATTTCCACCTGTTTCATTTCCTTTTGTAGGTTTATCCAAGGATGTCACACTGAGGCCTCCATCCGCGGGTGAGAACTTACCTACTGAGTCCCCTGCTCCGAGACAGGCTGAAGAAAAGAAAAGAAAGAGGGCTCCGAGTTCTCCGAGCTTGGAGAAGAAGAAAACAAAAAGAAGGCTGGTGCGCAAGTCTAAAGAAAGCACCAGAGCTCGAGCACCATCTTCGTATTTACTCTATCGGTTGAGGGACGAATCCTAAGAAGAAGATGAAGCCTTCGATCTGATAGCTTTTGTGTCGTCGCGACTCGAAGGGCAAGGGGCCTCCGAACTGGAGAGAGGCGAGGCCGATCTACCTCAAGTTAGGGAGACCGATGAGGAGGCCGTAACTAAAGCTTCCCGGGATATGGGCGATGTCCCAAAGGAGGCACTCGGAGTGATAGATATCACCGAGTCGCCTTCGTTCACTGAGTCCATGTACAACGAGGCTTAGATAGTGAAAGAACGTCCCAACGAGGGGGCCCACAGAGTGGACGACCCCTTCCGTGGCTTTTTTGATGGCGTGGATTCTACCGCCACGGAGGATGTCACCAGGTTGGGTGACTTAGAGGTGCCAAAAAAGAGTCTGTCTTCGGGAACAAATGGGCCTTCTTCAAGCCCAAAACAAGTCAACCGGTTCCCAGCTTTGAGTGTGGATCCCGACCGGAAGCGGTCGATCGTCATCTCTGTTCTAGAGGATCCCCGGGTCCTCTCTGCCCCCGTAGGGGTGGCCAGCTATCTTCGGCGTTTGGTGACTGATGAAGACCAAGCTAAGATGAACAAGGTGGACGCACCCTGCCTGTTCAATGAAGCACAACAGGCACTAAACCGGGTAACTTCAAATATCTCTTGATGACTTCAATTCATACTTAGACTAATTTATAGATAATCCTAATATTTTTCTTTGTGTCTACAAACCTCGGTGCTTCATCATGAGACCTTTCTCCGCTATCGGGACAAGCTGAACAAGCTTGAGGCCGAGGTCCAAGGGCTCACTGAGAAGAGAAATACTTACAAACTTCTCAGTGAGCAACGCGAAGGGGAGGCTAAGAGCCTCCGAGCTGAGCTGGAGGTGTCTCGGAAAGAACATGCCAACCTGGTCGAGCAGATAAAAATATTTGAGGTTAGTGACGATGAGCTAGACTCGGTAACTAACGGTCAAAATCTGCAGGTCCAACAGAAAATTGACCGGATCGCCCAACTTCGAGCTGAGATGGATGTTGTCAAGGCCAAAACCGATAATGGAGAGGCAAAATGGACCGTCTGGCCTCAGAAATAGAGACTGCTCGGGCGCAGCTGACTTCGGCTGAGACCCAGCTTCGACCGGCAATGGAAAAGGCTGAGGTGCAGGTCAAAAAGGTTGAGGATCTCTAGTCTCAGCTAAGTGTGGCCGTCTCTGATCGAAAAAACCTTGCCAAGGAGCTCGAAACGTCCAAGTTGGTAGTCGTTGTGGTTAAAGCCGATGCTTATGAGATGGTGGCGCAGTATAAGGCTGATTCCGAGGCAGCCCAGGATCGGACAAAGGATAACGTCGAGCATGCAAAGCGACAATCCCGTAGGGAGGCCTTTGAAGAGATTCATGCTCGAGGTTTCAACTTGTCGGTCGAAATCGAGAGTGCTAAGGGGCTCAAAGTCGAGTCCAAGAAGTTGGCTTATCCCGAGGATGACGAAGGCTACGAGGATTCGAGCAAATCCGAGGGTGGAGGAGATTCCGAAGACTTTGGCAACGAGACTAGCTCCGGTGAATACCAGGCCGTTTAAGTGCCTCGTATATTTTTCTTTATTTTTTGTATATTTGTACTTTTATATTTTTGTACTTTTTTGTCAAGGCCGTATGGCCTTTGTAAAGACTTCATGTATATATAATACAAGGCTTCCTTTTCCCTTCGACAATTTCTGAGTTTTGTTTTTCCCTTGCTTTATTTTTTATGTTCGTAAAGATCGAAATGCCTTAGCATGAACTAGTTAGGTCATGTTCAGTGGTTCGAACAGGCCTTGCCTTTTGACATTATTTTGTTTAAGGCATCGTAGGGGTTCGGTATGACCAGAACCTTTCCCCAAAGTACTTATAATGTTTTAGATTATAGTTTGTCGAGGGTAGCCTTTAGAACCGGTTTAGAAATTTTTCAAGGCCTTGTTTTTTGTTACGGGTCTCAGACGTCTCTGATCCGTTTTAATAAGGTTGTAGCCTTTTAGTTCATGTGTTGCCCAGTGGGTTTTTCATCTCGAGTTATCCGGACTTGCCTAAGATAATAGTCCCCGAATGGGGATGGCCGTAGCCTTTTTGTTCGGGCGCTGCCTAATAGGTCTTGTGCCCCCTGGCTCTGATAGCTCGAGCCATCCGGTTTATTTCTGGACGGCAGTCCCCGAGTGGGAGTGATCGTTTAAACCCGGATAAAGGCGGCCACTGGGCTCGATACCTTTAGGGTATCGAATGTAGGAAATTCAGAAAGAAAAGAAAAATTTAAGGGACAAGATGTTTATCCGCAAGGTAGAGACTTCATTTTATTTCTATGCGTAATATATACGATTACACATGCGTACAAGATTTTTGTCAGGGCTCGAGAAGTCTATGTGGGCACGGTTCATTCGACTATTTGGCCCTTATAGTAAATCCTATCGACCGAGCCG